TGTCTGAATATCCCCAAAGCACGATTTTTTTAATTACTGACCGCCAAGAATTGGACCGACAACTTTACGGATTTTTTACGGATTTTCCCTCTCTACTAAATTCTGAAAACATTATTCCAGTTTCTACTGTTCGTGAGTTAGCAGTTGTTTTACGAAAACCCAATCAGGGCAAAATTATCTTCATTATTCTTCATAAGTTTCGCCCCCAAAAGTTCCAGGATTGGTTAGATAAAAATGAGAAAGAGTTTAAGAATTCTCATGGTGTTTTTGTTTTCGTTGATGAGGCCCATCGCTCACAAAATTTGAAAATTCAGCCCGAGAAGCCCGGTTACGCTTGAATAAAGCGGCAAATTATTTCCGAAGGTTTTTTTTTTTGCTTGAACCGGAACTCCTATTAGCACTGAAGAAAAATCTACCTACGCTGAATTTGGTCCTTCTCTTGAACCTCTCCATAGTTATTCTGCCAAAGAAGCTCGAGAGGACCAAGTAATTGTTAACAACATATACTACGAACCCTACCGCCTTCGTCCTGCTAATGATTTAAAACAAATGGTCGTTAAAATAAAAGAGGACTATGAAGAATTAAGCAAAAAAATTCCCAATCCTAAGTTCCTAGTCACTTTAAGTAGCCAGAAAGAGGCTAAGAAATTTTGCGAGTTATTTTGTCAAGAAGAGAAATACCAAAAAGTTGTTTGTCTAATAATTTCAGAATCTCCAAAAAGTAAAGAAAAGACTCGTGAATTTAAAAACAATGATTTGCCTAATATAGCTATCGTGGTTAGGATGTTGACTACCGGCTTTGACTTGCCGGTTCTCCGTCATATTTACATTGGAAAAAAAGTTCAAAGTGCTAGTGAATTTTGACAAATAATTTCTCGAGTCAATCGTTTAGCGATAAACAAAAAAGTTGGACACATTATTGACTTTGCCGATAATAACTCAGTTTTAGAAGAAGCTAAAAAAAAATACTTCGGAAGTGAGAATTTACTCTTAACTTCTCCCGCCGAAGCGATTGCTTCCTGCTTGGCAGAACTACGACAAATACTAAATAATGCTGCAAATCTCAGTTTTGAGGCTGCAATTGGCTATTTATTAAAAAACAAAAAAGAGAAAGAATTTACTCACTTAGTCAGAAAAATTGAAGAAATAATTATTTCTCCCCAACAAATTGCGGATGATGACCAAGAATTTTTTACTAATTGCCAAAAGATTTCTGTTTCTCTTGCCCAATTTTCTGACCCGCCGCCTCCCACTTCTTCTCCACGATTGCGAGTTTTGCCGGTCAGCGAAGATGATTGAATTGATGAGAAAAATTCGAGAGATATATACGATGATGAGCATTACCGTCTATTCATTTTGGTCGAAAAGTTAAAAAAGTTGCAGAGCAAATTTTTAGAATGAAATATTTCTCAAAAAGTCTTAGGGAAATTAGAAAGGTTAATTAGTGAATATGAAGAAAGAGACCCAACCCAATTCGATTGCTCGGCTTTTTACCGCCAAGCCGAGGCTAATTGAAAAATAATGGAAAGTAAGTATAAGGAAATTCAAGAGAATTTAGGAAAAGACCCCAATTATCTGGTGAAAAAAAATTGCGAGGATTACTTACAAACTAATTTTTCTCACTTTTTTGCCAAAAATCAAGCCAAATTAAGTAGATTTCTCGAAGAAATAGTAAAAACTTTTTCTGAGAAATTTCATGATGATTCGGATTGGTTTTTGCTTGGTGGGACTTATGGAGATAGCGAATTAAAAAAAATGGTCGATAAAGTCTTTAATTCATCCGAACTGTCCCATCCCAGCACTTTTCAAGAATGAAAAGAAATACGGAAAAATATAATTAACATCATTCGAAAAAAATTTTATGTCTAACGAGGGTATACGGTTGACTGCCGAACAACGAGAATGTGTTAACTTTCCGCTCAGTCACCAGGTTCTAATTGTTAATGCTGGGCCAGGCACCGGAAAGACCGAAATTATTAAGGAGCGGATGAGATTTATTGTGGAGCAAAATCTTAATCAGCAGCAACTCGCTTTGGTTCTAACTTTTAATAAAAATATTTCGGTCGAAATCTGGCGAAAATTGAAATTAATCATTAGCAAGAATGTAACTCTTCTCCAAAAAAACAACCAGTTCTTAAAAAGAAGTAATTTTTCGCCCCACCAAGTAATGAACCGCACTTTTCACTCTTTATGTTATTTAATTTTCAATGAAGAACAGGAAAAAATTTCCGGTAAGGAGAATTTTGAAATTTTTATGGAAAAAAGAACTAAAGAATATTTTTTCCCCTTTTGAACTGATTCTGCCTTTAATTTTGTTGAGCACATTAAGGACAAAATGAAAAGTTTTTTAAGGAAACCGGCTAACGAATTAAGATTTAAAATTTTGAATAATCTTTCTAAGTGTGTTTTAAACAAAAAAAGCAATAATGTCGGTGAGAAGTTGAGGGGGGAGTTAATGTGGGAAGGGGGAATATGAAAAAAAATAGGGGTTAACAAAGAAAAAAAACCACTTATTTATCAAAAAATTGCTTATGATGAATATTTATGAGAAGTCCGCTCAGTTTTGGAAAAGTCTGGTCGTCTCGACTTGTATGAACCAATCAAAGAGTTTTTTATTAGTGACCAAAGAAAAAGATTTTGGTTATTTTTTGACGACGTGGTTGAAAATGTAACTAATTTTCTGAAAAAAGATGAAGAGAAAAAAAAACGTTGGCAAGTTTTTAATCATATTCTGGTTGACGAAAGCCAAGACTTGAATGAGGAGCAACTAAGGATGATAAAACAGCTTTGTTTGCCTCATACTACTCTAACTTTTGTGGGTGATCCTAAACAAACTATTTATGAATTTCGGGGGGGCGAAAAGTGGCATTTTTGAAACTATTAAAAAACTCTTCCCAAACAATATCCAAAAAAAACGTTACGGAGAGTTTTCGTTCTCACCAGGAAATTATTGCGGTAGCTAATGATTTTTCTCAGAATTTTCTC